TCACGGCGCTCCTTCGGCAATGGCGTTCGCCTAAAAAAGCCGCCAGGCCTCCCAAGAGTCTTTTAGACCGTCCCGCGGGGTCAGAAAGCAAGCTGAGCCCGTGACCTGGGTGCCGGTGGGTTTCTCTGGGCTGGTGCGTCCTTCCCCAGGTCGGGGGGTGATCGAGGAGGCATTGCCCTCGGCCGAAAACCGTTCAAGCCACGGCTGCCTCCTTTCCCTCCCCTGCCAGGCCAACACGCGACCTGCGTTAATGGTGTCGTGGCTACCACGGCACGGCCATCACGAGCCTTCGGCTCGCAAGTGCATAAGGCAAATGAAGCACAAAAGACACAGGTACTGATATATTCAGGCTGCATCAAGTTCTTTCCCCCACCCAGAGGTCTGTTCCTCAGCCCTTGTGCAGCTGCCTGCTATGCATGATTAACCTCTGTTCAGCCATACACAGAAATCTTTTGTCCTAACATACACAAAGCAAATTATTTTGGAAAGCTAGAGAGAACAATTAAATATAAAACTTCAGCTGTGTTAAATTTACAGAACACTTCACCTGCTTAAAAAAAACGATGGTAAAAAAAAAATCTCGTTTTAGCTCAATAGCAAGCTTTAGTTAGGGAAAAAAATACATCTCTGCCTTTATTTAGGCATATCCAGCCATAGTCATGATCTTTTTCCTCCCCCCTTGGAAACTAGTACTAGATTGTTTTACAATTTTTTTTTCTTTTTTACCAAGAACACCTCCCACTCCTTGCATCTTTTCCCCTAATGCGTTTTTTGGTCAAAAGATTTTTCTTCCAAGTACAGTCGTACTAGAAGTGAATAAAATACCATGTCTGCCTGATGCTAAAATTGAGGATTTTGAGTAAAGAGTGGATGAACATTTTATCCCAGCTCCAAGACCCCAGTAGAAGGCAATAGTGCAAGCACAGAGCCTTAGATGCAGCTAATTTCATTCCCCACCTGATGCGACTGAGCGACTCTGCCCCTCTCTGAGTGATGGTAGCGACGCTGAGGGGCATCATGTGAAGCTGGATGCATCAGGATATGCCCCATCACTGTGTATATTCTAGGTGATTAATAACTGGTGGTTTTAGACTGATTTAACCACATTTTATGTAGACGTGTTAAATCCTCAGGAGGGGGCTGGCAGGGCTTGAGACCCACTGGTTGTCTGGGCTTCCCATCCCTCCCATGGCAGCGGGCACCACTGGGACGAAGGCAGGTACTGGAGATCTGGAGCCCATCACCACCAGTCGCTGATCTAACTTAGGTCAAGCTTGAGTCAAGAATTGCTGCTGTCTGACCTGTATGAATAGTCCCATTTCTCGAGGGGGAAGCGTTTCCAGTTTGAAAGCACCTTCCTTAGCTGTTGGTGTTTTCAAGAGCCAGCTGGTAGTGGACATGATGTTTGAGGGACCTCGCTCTTGAGTGAGGATCTCTCTGCTGCATTGGTAGCAGGGAAATCTTCACCATATGCATTGTAGGGCAAACCAGAGGAGTCGGTCTAAATCCAGCATCACTTGCAGTTACTGCCAGCTGCTTTTGGAGATCCAAACCGAAGATCTTTCCTGTGTGTAGAAATGCAAGCTGCGATGCTCGGAGGGCGGTCCTGAGGTCAACAGGAGTGGCAGCCAAGGGCAAGACTCAGGCCGGAGCAATTAAGTCATTTCTACCAAACAGTACAGTGGCATACTAATTGTTTTTGTATAAAAGTAGTTCTCCCAACCCGGGAGAGGAGTGAGCAGAGGTGAAAAATGTCGAGCGTGTGAACCAGGAGTAGTTCTGGGGCTGCACGTGATCCTCTCCACCCGTGGAGCACCTCTCCCTTGCCTCTGCTGTGTCCCCCCCCTTTCTCCTGCTCAGTCTCACTGGCGGTCGCCTGCGGAGCTTCTTGCTTCTGCTGAAGCAGGGGTGTGAGATCCCCACCACTCCCAGGCTCAGCATCGGGGGGCACACCGAGTGGAGTGACTCCTTGCCCCACTGCTTCCCCTGCCACCGTGAAAGCGCTCTGACTTTCCCACCTAGACACTATTGCAGGCTGCAGTTTGATCTGGGTTTGGATTTATTAAATGACGCTTCTACACAACGTGTATTCTGGTGTATGGCTTGGCTGTGGGGATGGATTGGCTTTTTTCTAGCAGTGGCTCATTTCTCCACGTAGCTTGCAGTTTACAGGGAAGGGCGCAGTATGGAGCTTGGTTTGTTTGTGGCCAATTCTGTTGTGGTGCTTTTATTTTACATGGTTGAATGTGCATGTATAAGGAGTATATGTCTTGAGAGAAGCAGATCTTTCTTACCTGCAGAAAGCAACATCTGTTTTCATGGACAATACAGCCAGGATGAGAACATGAGACTAGCAGATACAGCCAAGTTCAAGTTTTAGTAGTAGGCTAAAACACCGAACCAGCCTGGGTTTTGGCGGTTTTTGTTTGTTTTTGTTCTTTGTTGGGTTTTTTTTGTGGTGTTTTTTTTTAACCAACGCCTGTAAAATGTATCTGATCATTCTTGGCTGAATTGCAGAAGGAAATGGTTAATGTTTGTGTATGTTGCTGAACAAGATAAGATGCACCTGCAGCATGAATTCCCATCTTAGTCATGAATGCAGTCTGTATCTTTGCAAACTAATCTGTTTAATCAAATATTAAGTTTTATTCAAATTCCAAAAGAAACAGACAGTGAATTGTTTTTCTGCACGGTCTTCCTTTGTCAGGCATCCTCTTTGCATCTCAAGAAAAATAGCCTTGTTCAGTCCCCAAACATTTGCATGGATCAGAATTGAAGCACAACAGTAGTTTGTGTGCTGTGAAGACGTGTGTAAAGGTGAAGAAGTTTAGCGTGCTCTCCCTGGCAGGAGGGCTTTAAAACATTAGTGAAACTTTCTGCAATTTATTTATTTTTAAACAGAATTCCAATCCAACTGGAATGAGTTTCCCAGTCCCAATATGTGAAAGCTGTAATTAGTGAATTACAACATTTTTGAAATTAGGAGTTATTACATCTGACTAGAATTAAACTAATTAAATTTTTTAAAAAATGAGCGTTTGTACAGAAAGCTGGAGAACTCCGTGCTGTTGATAAAACCTGGGCGGTGAACGAATGCTTTCCAGCCAGCCCGTTCTCTGAAGGGTCTGGAAGATGCTCGGAGATGCAGCTGTTTGGAGCTTTGCTGAATAAAAGCACCTGAGGTGTAACTTAAGGAGCAGCTTGGCCTTGCTAGAGCAGATTTTTTTTTTACCTGATACAGCCTATTCTTCCCTCTTTTCCTTCAGCTCAGTACATGTGTGGGCTAGTAAAGCCTGTCAGAGCATTTGTGGGAGCTCAGGCTGAGAGTAACAGGAGTGAAGGATCATCGCTGAAAAAACATTTTTTCGAAAGAGGAACGTTACCTGGGAGGATTGAAATGCAAATGAACCAAATGCTGTGCAGTGCCACCTCTGTGCTTCTCCAGCTGAAACTCACGAGAGCGGGTATATATTTTGTTCCCAGTCCTTCCCTTCCTATTTCTCAGCGTTTTGCCTTTCTGCACTGCTGCGTGAGGTGAGGCCGGGCTGCGCTGTGTAAACGCACAGCGCCGAGACGCTCAGGTTGTTTGAATACCGCTTTAGGTTCAGCTGCAGTACACTGTTCCTCTGATCTTTTATGTTCCTGAGCAGATGTCTTTCATTAATTTATGGATTTATCATCTTTTCTTTCTCCCTCTTTTTTTTTCCTTTCTTTTTTTTTTTTTTTTTCTTTTTTTACACCTGGCAGCTGGCTCAAGTTTCAGCAGTTATTGTCTATTTTGCATTACCCATAGAATTGAATGTCATCTGTCTTCACAAAGCTATGGCTAAGAGAATTGAGGCGAGCCACACGAGCTGCTGGGACAGAGCTTGTTTGCGTTCCATTCGGCACCCCTCCTCCCTTTACCTCCTTAATATTTATTTGTGCTCGTTTTCTTTCCTGGCCTTGAATGGGGCTTAGCTCGTGTTCGGTACAGCTGTATGTTTACTGAATCTATTTCATCATGAGTCATTGTGCGTGTGTAAGTATCCTGGAAACAGCTAGTGCTTTCTTGGAAGAACAGTTGCTTTTCAGCCCAAGCACTTAAAAAGGAAATTAAGCAATTGGTCAGTTCAGTTTTTTTCTGAAATAACCGTGGGTTATCTAATTCTTAGCTCTTAAGTCTGTCATTAACTATTTTTTGCTAGATATTACAGAACATATCCTTTATCATGGTAAAGCGTTAACCTTAGGATCAAGATACACAGATTTGTTGCATATTTGATATCGCTTTAAGGCTGCCAAGTGCTTAAGAACAAGTATAATTTTAATAAAAAATGGGTTTCTGGGAATTTGAGTCTCAGAACATCTTTTAATACATGTTTCATTCAATATCAATATCCTCTGGCATTAGAGCAGAAAATATTTAAAAATCCTAAATGCAGAAGGAATCCAAATGCTTAGACAACTGTCTAATATGCTTAAATCCAGCAAATGAGAGCTTTTTTTTGAAAGTTTAAGTCTGTCTTTGAGCTTGCATTGAAAGAGAATATACGCCAAACCCGATATTAGCATGTTGTCAGCGTCAGAGGAATTGCAAATTAAGGAGACTTAGGAATTTTTTTTCTTTTACTTATTGGAGTTCCCCTTTGGACCCCGATTTTCCTGAAAGGATCGCATAACAAAGTGGATTTCTGGCGTAGAAGTTTGATTTGTCTAAAACTCTTATCACTAAGCAATAGGTGACAGCTTGCTACTATTATTTCACTTACGTATTTTGACAGATGGCACTGCAGAGTGTAATGCTCTTTTAGACTTCTCTATCAGTCTAATGGAGGTAACTGGAGGTTCTTTCAACTCTTCTCTTGGCACAAGAAGTATGTCAGTCATAAATTATCTTCTTTGTAATCATTAAGCATCTAAAACAAAATGCAAGTTCAGCTGAGCCGTTTTCCGTGTACTTCCAGATGATAAGGGGTTTTTAAACTAATATTGTCAATGACTTCTTTTTTTTAAATGCTACATTTTTCCAATGAGAAAATGAACCTTGTAACCAAAATAAAGGGTTTCAGCAGATTTCATGAATTAGAGAAGAAGGAATTCTGCTGAAAAAGACTAGCTAATCGTTAGTAGCCTGTTGGCAAAAATTAGTCTGGGTTTCCCGTCTCGAGGCCTGGAATGAGATGTTCCGTGCTGACGTGCGCACGGCCGTGAGGGGGAAGAGGCACCTTGGCTGCAGCGCATCTGTCAACTGGGTTGACCTTCCCCCCACCATAAGGTGTGAACGGAGTGAAATTTTCAACAATTGTGTTTAGGAGAAACAGTCCTTAGAGAAGCTTCTGGGAAGAACCCTTAATTGACCTTGTGGGAGCCACATTGATTTTCTCCACGTGCATCTTCATTTCTGATAAATTATAAAGCCATTAATTTGCTGAGGAAATGGCAGGGCCAGCCTGCGGCACAGATGTGACCAGAGCCGTCCTAGCACGCAGTACACAAAAGAGAGCCAAGAAGCTGGGAGAAAAATCAGCAAGCCGAGATTGTTATGGTTAGCTTCACATTCCCTTGGGAACTCTTTTAGTTGCTTCTGTTTACAGATCTAAAAGGCAATGATGTTGCCAGGATAAATAGGCTGCCTTATAGGGTAAGTGGCCATTTATTGATCTGCTAGCCTGCGTTTATCGATTGGTTAGCCCCAAATACATCTTCGTTCTCCGAGGAGTTAACTGTGTAAATCGGGAGGCGACAAGTTTGTGGCGGGGGGGAGGGAGCGGCAGAGGGGCTCTGCCTCTTACAAACTGCGCTTTGATTTGCACGGCAGCCACTGGAGCAGAGCAACAGCGGGATTAGGGGGAGTTACTCAAGGTGTTGAAATCTATCGACACAAGTGAAACGGGCGAAACGTACTGCCTGTATAAAACATTGCTCAGCGTGATAACGCGCCTCCGACTGTCTCGCATGCGTTAGCTTTATCTCATGCAAGCGGCACAACGCTGAGAGAAAAGAAACTTTAGCTGGCATTGCAAAGGGGAGGGAGAAAAAGCTTCCGATAAGTTTTCTGCGGCACATGCTTCGTGCATTTGTTTCCTTAGCAACAAGTGAACATACATACGGTACACAAGCCGTAAACTTGCAAGGTTCACGAGACCCAGCACCAAAACTGATAGGGAATCCGGGGTTTAAGTTGCGTGGCCTCGCATCCCTCGTTTAGCTGTTTTGCGGAAAATTGCAGCGCAGCGATTTAAATGTTAACATTTTCTCCTGTAGTCCGGGAAACTGTAGAGTATTGAAGGGGGCACTTTGCTAGCTCTATATGCTCAGAAACAGCTTTCTCAAGAAAAGCATTTTCCTTTACTAATTCAATCCTACATGCAGGAAGGCTTGTCACCGAATCACTTGAAAAAGGCCAAGCTCATGTTCTTTTACACCCGGTACCCAAGTTCCAATATGCTGAAAACCTACTTCTCAGATGTAAAGGTAAGAAAATCTCTTCTTCCTCCCCCCTCCCTCCCCACCTTACTGCATGCTGTATTTGCTCATGAAATGCTATCATGTTATATGGGAGATTAATAATATTTCTGGGTACACAAAGGTTGCAGCTGACTTTATTCACTTGTTCTTCCTGTTGAGGTGTACCCTGCTCATGCCTAGGTGAGGAAAGGGGATGGTTTTAAATTAAAAATAAAAAAATCATTGACATTTTAGAGCAAAGTCAGAATAATTATTACAGTAAATGAAACAGTTTTCATTATATGTGTCCTATTAGAAAAAGAGATTTCTGTGGTGGTAGAAATGTACTTCCAAGAACATTTTGGAGCAGTTCTCAAGTGCTCCCTTATTGTTTCATTTCAGTGGGTTTCCTCATATTTGTGCTTACATAAGCAGAGTGTAGAATCCCTTTCTTTCTGTCAAAAAGAAACAGTACATTGAAATTCTCCATGCAGAAGCTGCTTAAAAACAAAAGTGATGATTGTCTCTTATTTACAACTTAATTTGTTGTTGATGCAGAGTACA